GGGTGTAAGAGGAGGTCGGGATTATGTACCTCGTCTTGATGCAATGCTGCTATTGATTTTGTACTTCGTCGCTGGAGGTTATCTGCAAGAGGCTGCACAGCAGTGTCCACTCGTCGCATTGTATACAGGTTGGTGACGTGTCAGGAGTGTGCGCTGACGTGGCAGAGGTGGAGGAGCCTGGAGGAGGAGTGGACCTGTCTTTCCTGTCTACCCCCCTCCTGTTGTCTATTCTCCCCCACCTCTTCTTTTCTGTCCACTCGTCTTGAATACTTGCCACGTGGCATCGAGGAAACTTGTACATCGATGATTTCAAATTTGATGGATTATTGTTGGTACACTGAGATCTCGACATTGTGATTTGGAGACACGCCTGTTTGACGACATTGGGTTCACTGCAATTTGGTATTGGAGCGAACTCACCTCATCCCGCCATTTGAAGTTGTTGCTCAAAGTGAAGACAACAACGTGATCAAGACTGGCGATATCTCTCTCTGAAGTAAGTGCTGACATGGCGAAAACGGAGTGGCGATATCCCTTGAAGGCCGCCAACCGCTCCCTAATCCAGCCAACCTTATTGTTCGTAGATTTGAACACTGCGTCGTCGTGGGGTCCAGTTACTTGCATAGCAAGTGTATAGCTCATCCCTCATTCTAGCCTTATCCTCCAGGAGAGCCTTAACTAAGGTGGATCTGCCGCCCTGATGCAGGATTCTATTTTCCAAAGGGGAAAGGAGGCGAGTCAAATAGAATGTTCCTGCTGCTATTAGATTTCCCAATGGGATCTTCCACTCCTCCCCTCCCCCCCCCTCTTCTCCCTCCTTTCTTCGCTTGATCGAGATCGTGTCCCCAGAGAATGGTCTCCTCACCCTTTTCGCCCACGTCTTTGCGTTTGACGGTCGGCTTAATGAGCTGGCCTGGCTTCTCAGTTCACTACTGACTGCTGTCGTGTTCCCCTGATTGCCTCCCTCCACTCCACCCCGTTCACCATCCGATCTACCCCTCCCCCTGTGGGGAAGGTCAGCCCCCCCAAGCCTGCAGTGGGCATGGTGCCTTGCCGCCCCTTTATAGAAGATCATAGCGTCCATTTTTTTATGTACTCTCCGCGACCTACTTTTCTCGTTTCCGATCGCCATGCCTGGCCCCCCCTGCAAATGCTCCCTGAGCAGCCCCTTCCCTCTCCGTCCTGCTGGTGTGGTACGGTGTGGTATGTTGTGTCCAGCCGTTCTGAGACCACCCTGCAATTTATGCTTGAGCACTCTTCTACCTGGTGCCAGTTACTCGCAATACTTCGTGGTGTCTCCTCCTTTTTTCTTCGGTGAGATCCCCTCGGCAAACCTCCCTCCCTTGTCGAATCCCTCCGCTATACGCCCTCCCCCCCCCCCCCCCATCGGTTCTGTCCAGCAGCATACCCGCCACCAATCGACTTCCCCTTCCCCTCCTAATCGTCTCGTTTATTTTATTTATTATTATTTTATGATTATATATATTTTATTATTATTGTTTTTTCGACCTTTTCCCTTTCCTCATTTTTGATTTCTCCTCCTCACTTGCCCTTGCGCGTCCCCTTTCCCTCCGAGATCCACTTCCTTATCCCTCACCCGTCCGCCTCTCCCCCTTCCTCCGCTCGCCTTACCCCTGTCTCGTCTTCCTTCCCTGCACGATCTAAGTTGGACCTACTTCTCTTCTCTTTTCTCTTCCCCCCACTTTACGAATGGTTCTTCATAAATTGAGAGAAGGAAACTTCAAATCAAACCCAAAGAAATCTGAGTTTGCAAAGCCAAGGAGCCTAACCGAATTGTGTTCCTTCCTTGGGTTAGGTAGCTATTTTCGAAAGTTCGTCAGGAACTTCTCCAATATAGCTGCACCAATGAGGAAAGTGTTAAAAAAGAAAACTGTCTCACTCTGGGATAAGGATTGTGAGTCCAATTTCGGAAGTTAAAGTATGCTCTAACTCTGTCTTGAAGATTGCAGACCCCTCTCTACCTTTTGTTGTGACCACTGATGCCAGTCAGTATGGGATTAGGGCTGTTTTGCAACAAAACGATGAGAAAAGTTATCGGCCAGTTGAATTCATGTCTTGATGTCTCCCTTCAAACAAAGTGGCTAACTCAATGTATGAGAAACAACTGTACGCTCTTTTGCAAGCACTGCTGACGTGGAAGCACTACCTTCTACGTAGGCACTTCAAAGTCTACTCAGCCC